TTTAAAACACATGGTAGTGCCTATTTCGTATAACACAGGGGGGTTTGGCGCATTTTATCCCATAATTTAACTACCTACCATTTCTAATATTTATCTCCTACTTTTACATCATATCAAATTTAAGCATTTTATTTTAAATATTATTGTAATAAATTTTCAAATTCTCACTAACTAATCATTCTAACTTTTTTCAAATAAACGCTAGCTAACACACACACACAAAAAAAAAAAAACAATTTTTTTTTCTAGTTTTTTATAAACAAGTTGACCAAATCCATAGCATTGACAATATCTTGATCATCTCTTTATAATTCTAGTGATAACTCATTTGTTGTCTAAAATTTGTCTCATTAGAAGAAGACAAAATATGAAATCAAAAGATTGTATCTGCACAAACAACAAATTACATTGTCCTCATTGATCAACAAATTACTACTAGTCGTCAAAGCACAAAAAGGTAAAATTAAAGATCATAAACATACTAGCAAGATTGATTTGGTGGTCTACGAGAGGGTCTTGTCTTTTCCCCCTGCAAGTGCGCGTCCTCGGACGGGACTTTCCCCATCAGGAGCTTGAAGCATATCATCTCAAAGTTGTACACATCCGCCTTTTCGCTGTATTTCGCGCTCGTTGTCCCATTTTCATATTTCTGATCATTCTCGGCCAACACCTCCGAAGTGTAACAAATGAAATATGGTACCCGATTGGTTGGGGTCTTCTGGGTCAGGGACCTTGGCTAGCGAGTATCCACCAACTCCTTTGTTCCAGGCTTTGATTAGAACATTTAATAGGCTCAACTCCTTATGGTATATTTTCTTCGAGTGCAGATACTCCATTCCCCGGGCTATCTGGAGCATGAGGTCGACACCAATGGGTAGGGGGAATGATACTCACTTCTTGGGCCCGCAGATCTCCCGAATGTAGCTCGACAGGTCACGGTTCATGAGCTCCATTACCAATAAGAATTCCTTTCGCTCTTCATCAGCAATGGAGCATAGAATGTGGTGTATGTTCGGTGGGAGAGGGAGAACTTGATCGAGATCTCAGGGACCAGCGCATCCACCTCCCCGTGAAAGTGCCTCAACGCAAAAATCTCCCCAAGCCGGATGTGGTTCTTCGTGCCTTTGGATTTTATATTTGTTAATGTTTGGCAATATTTTAGCTTGGTTATTTATCTGGTTCCAAGAAATGATTAATTTTTGTTTTGTTTTGTTTTTCATGGAAACCTATTTTATGTTCTTACATAGTTGATCTGACCTTATTTTGATCTTGCTTTGAACTTAACTTGATTTTTTTTACTACATCAAATAGAGCTTTCGAACCGAATGTCAAAAGGGGAGACTGTTAGGAGTTTTTAATCTGCATAATTCGATTAATCTTTTTTTATTCAACTAATTTCCTTGTATGCCACTAGAAAATAAAGCAAGACAAAATAAAGAGAAGTTTAATTTTTTCTTATTACGTTTCCATATTATGTATGTACTTAATATTGAGTTTGATTTTTTTATTACGTTTCCATATTATGTATTACTTAATATTGAGTTGGATATGCATGAGATTTCTTTTCTTATTTATTGTAGGACCAAGCGAGGTGGAAATCTTAACGCGGCATTGGAAATTGGGACGAGGCGTGAGCACGTATGAAAAGAGAATCACTGGTACAAGATCCGCCAAATCTTGCATATAAGAAAAAGTGTTCTTCCATGACTTCGGACCTTCAAAGGTAAAGACGATTCCGGATATCTTAAAGACCTGTCAATGAAGGAAACTTACTACCATTTAAGATTTTGAAGATTGTTTACCAAAAGAGGACCGCATATAGAATTATGCACCGTTGTGTTATGATTGAGAGAGAGAGAGAGAGAGAAATCTTAAGATATTTTGAGTTTTATTGAGTCTTCCAAAGCTTAAGTTTGATTTTATTTGATAGTTTTAGTCGGACGTATAGTTCGTGTTATGACGAGTTGAAAAGTTTGACATCTTCCTTTTTATCCTTTTATTACGACACATGGGATATGTGTTTGTATACCTGTGGAGGAATTCACGATACGTTGTGAAGTCCAAGAGATCGGCCAAAAAAGTAGTTAGAGAAATGGAGTGTGGGAACAATTAGATTAGAATGGAGTTCTACTCTTATAAATTTGTACTAAACTACGTATGCACAACCATTTTCTAATAAAAGTTCTGAGGGAAACGGAATACTTCCTGAAGGCAATTTTGTTAAATCGCTTCCACTTTATATTTTGTGTGGTTACATAAATTCGTACTCGTACACTCCCCCTATACACTTCAATTAAAAATGTACCAAATTCAAGAACTTCTAGTTCCTGCAATTTTTTACAAAATCATTCATTGTTTTATAATAGTACATATTATTATTGTATTAAGAGAGATGTAACTATTAGTAACAACTTAAAATTCATTGTTTTACTTTAGTACATATTATTGTATTAAGAGAGATGTGACTATTAGTAACAACTGAAAATTCATTGTTTTACAATAGCACATATTATTGTGTTAAGAGAAATGTGCTATTAGTAACAACTGAAAGAGAAATGCTCACCTATCCACGGTGGGCATATTAACATGTGTCCACCGTGAGTAGGAGAGCATTTCCAACAACTGAAAACAAGAAGTTAATACCAAACATGCCCAAAGTGTTGGCCTCTATATATAGGTATATATATAATGCAAACACAACTACATATAGAGGTTGTGGCTAAATTCTTTACCATGCAAAGTTGGCTACATATAGAGGTTGTTGAAACCTTACATCACTTGTCAGTTGCACCAAGCCTCAAGTTCTTGGTAAACTTCCAAAATACAAAATGGATATACTTTCTTTTTTCCTGGTTGTAATATCATTGTTTCAGTAGCTGATATAATACACAGTCAAATGCTAGTCCCATATTTCACTATGCTATGAAATTAACTAGGATTTCAGGACAAGGTTATAAAAATTTTCTCCCACCAAATTTCTAGAAAACAACAATAGCTTGAAATTCGAACATACAGCCCGCGTCACCTTGTTGGCGCCCGAGAAAGTTGGCTAATTATCATCTAACAAATACTTGTTATTTGGACTATCCGTAAATTTTCTTTTGAAGTCGGGCAAATCAGCAACAACAATCTACAGAAAAAGTGCTATCATTGTATTTGGAAAGCTGTGGGGAGAAGAATAGTGTTGGCTAGCTCTTCATTCACCTGTGGAAGCGGAGGCATTCTCTTCATTGTGGGGCCCATCTCGTTCAAGCTGAAATTCGATGCCAATACACAGTGAGAAATGCGCACGAGCAGTAGTGAAGCTTATCGACATGTCAAGAACATAAAGAGAGAAAAAAAAGAATAGCTAGAGAGAAACTATCAAAATCGCTAATCATGTATAACATTCAAGTATCTTCAGGAAGGTAGATTACAACACTTTGCACTGTATTATCAGTTTATCACTTAAGAGTAAGCTAATGTTGAGCTAAAATAAAGTATTTGATATTTCTGAAGGAAAAAAAAAAAAAAAAAAAAAAAAGAAAAAATGTGAGCGTTTGGCTGTCTTTAACTACGCTGTCTATAGATGCAAACTGACATTTAGCATATATTTTACTTTAAGGTTAAAACAATAAAACCAGCAAAATCTAATAGAACATCAGTCAAGAGACTAACGACTTACTTGCTCAATATTTTGAATATGTTGTCTCGAGCTTGACTTAGAAGACAAATGTTTTCATGCATCTGAAAGTGTGAGGAACAGAGAAAAAATCAGTTTCCTAAAAACTTCTTTTTCTTTTCTTCATTTCTCGTTAGGGTTAATGAAATTGCATAAGTATAATTAAAAATTATTTATCATATAGATCATTACATTATTACCTCCACCAGTAGAAAAGTGGAAAATCCATAATCGAGAATAGTCGGAAAAGCAAATTATTTAAAAAGCAATACGAAAGCATTACCTGATGGGTGGCGAGATTTGTGGATATCTGTTTAAAAGCCCAAGCATTTTGCTGCAGCAGCTGATGGGTGGCTCCATTAACATCTGCGTAACAGAAAAAAACTGATATATTAAGGTTGATAACATGAAAAATAAATTATGACCAAATCATCATAACTTGGAATACATCGCTATATAAATTCTTTTGGCCTTGATCAAATTTAGAACATGGAATACCACTACAAATAATAAAGACAAAAGACTATGGAGTTACTTAAACAAAACAAAAAATTCCAGATTAATTTGAAGTGATGATGCCAAAGAAAACGAACAAAATCCGGATTAAAACCGAAGACAATATTTCAGAAAATGAGCCAACCGTTGTATGAGATGATGTCATCATTGAAATTTGAAACCATTCCAGGAGCATGAGATAAACCCGGCTGGATCCCCAAACGAGAAGGCTTTGCAAAGGATTCAATAACTTTTTCCT